TACATATTGAAAGATTTAAATAACGAGATTTTGGAAGGAAGATTTAATACAGAAGAATTACAGAAGGTAACAGAATGATGCAGTTGGACTTTTTTGCAACTGATAAGCAACGCCAGCATGGATTTATTTTCCGAAAATAAGCAGTCTCATTTCATTGTGAAAATACGTCCACCTATTGATTTGCGTGGAAAATGGGTAGTCAGTCTGAGCGATGTTATTATTCCTAGAAACTGGTTTAACATATCTAATGATTATACTATTACTAAGCATAAAATTAGAAGAGAAAAAATAAGTGAAAAAATATATGTGATTTCATTAACTACAGGTGATTAAAATGAAGGAGAGACGCTTTTCGATTGAATAAACAAGAATACTGTATAGTTTCGTGAACAGAATCCAACTCGGTAGAATTTATTTTAGACAAGGATTATAAAAACGTAAAACTAAATTTGAAAGAGGGATTCGAGTTGTATGTTACAAAAGACCATGCTCACAAATTACTTTATTTATTAAATTTACCAAACACAGATATAATATTTAAACAACAGAGTTCAAGTTTAATATTGCGAGGAGAGACTAAGGAATATCTATCAAATCCTAGATTTTACAAAGATCAATTTATAAATTTAGTAGAAAGAAATAAAAAAGTTGTTGAAGAAATTGATGTAGTGGAAAAAATTTTTATTCCTATCGGATTATATTCATCAGCTGAAAAATTTCTCGGAATTTTTAAATATATTAAATTAGGATTACTGCCTAATAACAAAATCATTTTAAAAGTTCCTAAAAATATAACGATTGAATTCGGAAACGAATTAAAAGATTTATTAGGATTTAAAACACAGAAATTTTCAGTGGGTGAATATATAAGTGAATATCCACTCGAATTGTCTGCGGGAATTTCAGAAATTTTCATCTATTCAAATATTGTTGCTTCTCATCACGTTGGAGATATAACAGCTCCTCTTCTAAGAGTTATACCAGTTATAGGAGAAAAGACCGATCAAATAGTTAGAGTTTATCCCTCACCTTTATATTTTCCTTTGAAGAAAAATTATATCGATACTATCGAAATCGAGTTAAGAACCGCTGGTGGAAAAGAAATTGTCTTTTTTGGAGGCAAAACATTATTAGTTTTATCTTTTAAACAATTATAAATAGTGCTTAATTTTATTTGCTAATGTTAGTTCATCTTGGAGAAGTACAAAATGAAGCTGGATCCTAAAGATTGTATAAACTATTACTGTAATCAGGCGGGAGGAACGATATTCAGACCTGAGTTACAATTTCCTCTCACACGACAATTAGGAACAGGGAATTATTTTGCAGGACAGCAAATACAACGAGGATATGGATTTTTTGGAGATTTATTTCGTAAATCTATTCCTATTCTTAGTAAAGTAGGAAAATATCTAGGGCGAAAAGCGTTAAANGCATTTAATGGAAATGTAAAATACAATCCTTTTAATTTTAAAAATTACAATTTAAATTATATATGTTTATTAAAAGACAATCAAATGATTCCCCCAAAACCATATACTCCAGATTATACGAATAAGATATATGCAAGAAATTTTATATCATTATTTGAAGATATAGGATGCATTAACCATCATAAATTTACAAATATATCTTATGACGATTATAAAGATGGATATACTTTATATTGTTTTGACCTTACTCCTGATCATTCTGCATCAGAATCACATATAAGTGTTAATCAACAAGGAAATATTTCAATCGAATTAAAATTTTAAACCGCAATATTAGAAACTGTGAACGTTATTTGTTTGCTGGAATATAATAATACTCTAGAAATTGACCATTCAAGAACTGTGTTTGTGGACTATTAATGAATACCATTACTTTATGGAGACTTGCTTCGAGTGATTTGAAAATAAAAAGGACTTATGGAGGTGTTTTTGCATCTGATGACTTATCCATTTGCATTGCTAATTGTAATTCGTTTATAATTAATTTAGACGAAAAAATAAGCCTGGGAGTCATTGGGTATCTGTGTTCTTTACAGAAAAAACTTGTTTTTACTATGATAGTTATCGAATGAAACCGACAAAAGCAAAAATTATGAAATTTATAAAACGAAATTCTAAAAATTGTTATTGGAATAATATGGTTCATCAAAGTTTATATTCAACAACTTGTGGATATTTCTATTTGTATTTCCTATATAAAATGAATAGAAATCCATGTTTAAAGGATTAAGTACGATAGACGAATTTTATAACGATGAATTTGTAAAGAAATTTGTTAAAAATCATTTTTACTTAGTACACTCGAGTGCAATAATGTATAATCAATGTTGTACTTCAATGAAAAATAATAAAATTATTTAAATATAAATTTTTGTAAATTATTTAATACTTACTGCATGAGAATTTTCAGGCACTAGAATCTATTTTTTAAATATATCAATTGAATATAGATATATACAAAAAATATATATATACTTACAACTCATCTTGGCAGAACTTATTAATTAAATGTTGAAGTTCGTGAATGATTGTTGAAACTTGTTGATTCTGACAAAAATTACAGCTCCTTTTATACTTAAATTCAACACTAGTGTTGTGTTCATTTTTAGATGTCCTGTTATCGAAGTACATTCTTAAAATATTAATAGACATGGTATGTTTTTAAAATATACTGTTTTTGAAAATATTAATAGACACGACATGTTTTTAATTCATTTTTAAACATCGTGTTATGTCAATTTTCAATTCATATTTAAACTTCCTGTTATTCAAAGTATAGTTCAAGAATATTAATAGACATCGTGTTATTCTAAAATTATTAATGGAGATCCTGTTTTTCAAGAAACTGTCTAAAAATATTAATTCGCATCCGTGTTATGTGTTATTTTCGTGTCCAGCAATAGTATAAATACTGCATATAAGAGACTGGCTCAATACATCACTGAGAACTTCTTTTGCAAGAACCTCTCATACATCTAAGAAAAATGTCTTCAGATGGTAAGTATTTTATTTTATTTTTTAATATTTTTACTTAAAATATTTCAATAAATATAATATTAATTTTAGAATGTGATTATGATTTTAACGTGAAACAAACTGTTGGTAAAAAAAGAGGAGCAAAACCTAAAAATATAGAAGATCTGGAGTTGAAAAAGCAAAAGGTTGCCTTAGACCAAAAGTTTGAGTTAGATCTAACTCTAGATAAAGGTAAATNTTAGACGAATCATTCTTAACCAACTTTTCACAATATCTTGATTGGAATAAAGTCGCAGAATTTCAAATTCTTTCAGATAATTTTATTAGGCGATACATACATAAGTTTGATATTAAAAAAATTTTAAAATACCAACGATTAAAAACTATGACTTTACGCGTATTAAAAGATTATCTAAACTGGAATTATGTTTCTCGTTACCAAATACTTGACCAGCAATTTATTGATGACTTCCAAAATGAACTTTCATGGTGTTACATTTTAAAATATCAGAAAATAGACCGGGAATATATTGTAAACAATCACCAGAACTTATTACTCCACTTATTAGCAGAAATGTGCCATGTTTTAGATAAAGTGAATGAGAAAACTGGAAAAAGCTTAAATATAATAAACTAATTTAATCTATTAATGTAAAAATAAAAAAATAAAATTCAAAAATAATTTTGTTTTGGTGTTATATTATTTCATACAATTATTGGGTTTTAATTTTATTCGATATAATACAGAAACTTTGTCTTATTGTTACAAGATATTTTATGAAAATGAATTGAAAGTTTTATAAATATTTATTATCTTAATTTATTCAAGAAATTTTTTATCTGAAATTATTGCAAATTAATTTTATAATAATTAGAAAGAATATACTGTATTAATTCAAAGTTATAAAAACATTTTAATAATTAAACTTATTGTTAAAATAATATAAAATTTAAATTTAATAATTAATACAGTCTTATTGTTAAAATAAAATTAATTTAATTTAAAATTTAATAATTAATATAACCTTATTGTTAAAATAAAATTAAGATTTGTGATCTGAAATAATTCCATTCAACAAATTTTTATTTGCAATTTTAATTTATTCGATAGTAATTTATTCACAAAATTAATTTTGTGATCTGAAATAATTCCATTCAACAAATTTTTATTTGAAATTTACTCATGAAATTAATTTTGTGATCAGTATGTGTCAAACCACTACTACTCAAATGAACTGCCAGATTATCGAGCAGTTTGTTTGGCATTAATAATTGAATTGAGTTGATAATTCTTATTAAATTTATTCATTTTGTCTTATATGATTATAACACTTATGTGTTGTGGTGTTACAGGAGTGGAGTCTTGGAGAATGAACTCATCCGACTTTAGAAAATGAACTTGTCCGCAGTACTTTCAGTAGTGTATAACTACCGTCTTCAGGTGGTCTATCGAATACAAGAGATTAAGATTTTCGAACACTAATCCGACGTTTCACAAATTTCAGATTTTCAAAATTATCAAACAATATTTCTGATGGATTAACTGAGTTTTCATTTTCAAATGTAATTAAAAAATCTTTTTGTGCATCATAGTGCGTGGAAGGAAAACAGTTTTAATTAAGCATGTTTTAGGAAGAATAAGGCCGTAAAAGAGCCCAGAACATGCATAAAGTATAAGATATGTCAAAAAGACATCTGAGTAGCAAAGACTTCAACATCGTGGATTGAGTTGTTTAAAAGCTGTTACCCTAAAAAACAATCACTCAACAAATTGTTGATTGTTGGTTTTTTATTTGATTTTTCAAAATTTTTATTTAAAAGTTAATTCAAAAAAATTAATTTTTTTAAGAATAAATAAAAGTGAATTCATTATTTTTATATTGTTCATTTCTCAAATATTGAAAAATTTCAGTAAGTTTAATCAAAAATACATATTTTCATATGTATTACTGCATAGTTATGCACTTAAAATTTACATAATTCTGGTCACATTAATGATGACCTAAAATTAAGTCAAAAAACATTTCAGAAATGAGTAAATTTACTGGTAAACTTAAATTTAACAGTGCTTTTCTTTATTGTATATTGCCAAGATTTGTGGATTTCATTCATTTTGTCAGTATAAATGTTAGTGTAGTATTTTGAATTTAGAATGAAGTTTATAAGTATTATGATATCATATTACCTATATTTTTGAATATTTAGAACACAATTATAATGTTATTGTTGTAATTTTATATTTGATAGACTATTGTTTATAACAACTTTATATAAACTTTTGATGTATGTTACTTGTATTAATGAATTTAAAAGAAATAACTAATAATAAATTTTTATTAAATGAATTATGCAATAGTTTTATAATTACATTTTTTAAAAGTATCATAATTAATGAGTTAAAATAAAGTTTATAAGAAAAATAATACTTTTATCATATTATTAATTAATCAATATTTTAATTTTAATAGGCTGCAGATAATCCTTTAGGAAGTGCACCTGTTCTTATTAAGAATGGAGAAATTGCTGTAGCTATAATTGATTGGCTTCCATCTTTAGAATCACATGAACTACAGTCGTTATGTATTGATAGATTATTAAACATATGTAAGATAGATCTTCATAGCAGAATTATTTGTTGTCAAAATGATATTGTTTCTACCATTTTGAAATGCTTTACACAGCATCAGAAACTTGCTTGCAAAACAATTGGTAATTATATTGAAATTTTTAATATAAAGATTATTTTATAAATTTATAAGTTTAAAATATGAAAATTAAGACAAAAATTTAATGATACTTTAATTGGAAATTAATTTTTTTGATGATTTCTAATGTGAAAAATTTTTTAGATGTAATTTATTTTGAAAATATAAAAAAATAACTGTAAAAATAGTAACTATGTCATTCACAATTTTTTTCAGCAGGAAGAGCTTCTTAATAACTAATAATTTCAATCTTATTAAAAGACCATTTTCAGGCTTACAAATAATCCATTGAACATTGTAAATTTAATTGTTTAGAACATAAGATAATAGAACAGGCATGGCCAACATACGGCCTGCAGGTCGGATATGGCCCATCTAATGAATTTATGTGGCCCGCAATTAATCTATCAATATTAGCTACTCAAGTCCAAATAGCTCGATGAAAAAAAAAAGGGTCAACAACTCACTGTGCATTTAGAGTTAACCCTCTATTACAAATCTCTTAAGTACAACATAGAATGTTGATAAAGTATGCTAATGTAAAATGTATCTGTAATCTCTATGTACAATTTAGTCTCTACGGGGTGACAGCACAATGAGATCTTGCACCGCCTCAAAATCTTCCTAGGGCAGCCTCTGGTTTGGCCCGTGAAAAAAAGTTTTCTTTCCAATTTGGCCCGGGGGCAAAAACTGTTGTCCACCCCTGTAATAGAACATTATATAGTATCAATTTATCCAAGTTTTGGCACATTGGATAAATTGTAACAAAAATAAAATAGTAAATAAATACCATAAATACAATAAAAACATAAAATAAATAAATAAAAATATTAAATTACAAAATGAATAATATCACTCTCAAGGGCAGGGAAAAAACAAAGGATAGAAATAAATGTGAACAAAAAAATCAGTAAAGATGGAGAAATAATGTGACTAAAGAATGTCCTTCCAAGTTAGGGGTGTCAATCTCAAATCACACTCTCCATGTGGAAGATAGTATGTTGTGGTTTTTGTAATTAATGGAGTGGTTATGACATACTGATATATATGTATATATATATACACATATTTCCAAGTCTTCCACATGTTAAACATGATGATTGTTCTGACAGTTTTACTGATCTTGGCTCATTCTCATTGTACATTAACTAAATCATCAAGTGCATAGGCAAACAGTGCCAAGTTAGGTAAAGATTTCTGTATATTATATCTGTATATTCCTTCAGGTGTCTTCTGGAAGATCTTGAAGTAGCTTCCACACATATTAAGTTGTACGAGGGCTATTTTTTAAATAAGCTCCATTTGTGAGAGTGAGAATGACGCGCGATTGCAGCAGTGTGCATGAGCATCTGCTTTCAGCATGCTTTGCACATGTTTAGATGCCATTTGCAGCTATATCGTCTGTCTGTGTGCTGAACTGTAGAAGTTTATAATGTTTAAGAAAATTGAGTCACCTGCAGACTGTAAGATATGATCTGTTATTTGATTTTAGCACGAAAGATCATGGTAACTGTCTTTTGGGACCGGAAAGGGATTTTGATAGTAGATTTTATGCCAAGAAGCACAACAATCAATTGTGATGCTTATTGTGACCTTGAGAAAACTCCACGGTGTCATACAAGACAAGCAGTGTGGCCTAATATCTTCTGGCGGCAGGTGGCAGATTTCTTTGAAGTCGGAATTTAAAAAATTTTGAGCAGTATAACAAATGTTTGAACAAAAATGGAAATTATGTAGAAAAATAGATAAAAGTATGTAGAATATGGGAAAAAATATATTTTAATGATATTTACAGTATTTTTATTTGCATTAAAAAACGGACCTTATTTAAAAAATAGCCCTCATATATTGTCCTTTGGTTGGTAAGAGAAATAGAAAAACTCATAGGATCTTTGTCATTTTGGAGTATTTTATAAATTATGGGAGATCTTCTCTAAACAATTCTCTTACCTGTGGCTTTTGCTATCTTTTTAAAGATGTTTATATAAACAACCCTATAAACCCAATGTAATGCAATAACACACAAACAACTGCCGTATATCTTCAGGCTATAATTTGGAATAAATAATTTTAAATTACAAATGAATTTGTAATTTAAAATTATTTATTCCAAATTATAGCTGGATGATTTACGGCAGTTGTTGATGTGTTATTTAAAGATATTATGAAGAGGTTAGATGTATTCAATTATTGTTCAGAGGTCTTGGAGGAATCTCTCATATCAGTTGCATAAGAGTTTGAAAGATGTCAACAAGGACTTGTATAGTCTTAGGATCATAGCTGAAGTGCTTTCTCAGTAATTTGACCTATTGCTGCTCCAATCTGTCTAAAATGTCAGGACACTGAGTATGTGCCTGTCTGATCAAAGTCCTGAAAGCTGCTAGTTTGTATTATGGAGGGTCATTATGGTATTGCATGCTTCATATATAAACTGAATATAGAACTAATTAATGAAAAGAGAACAGTTTTAAAAAGTTGGTGTGGTGGTTGTATTTTAAAACATTTCTTGTTTTAAAATACAACCACTACAGAATGTTTAAACAAAGACATTTTCAAATCTTATAATATAATCAAGATGGGCTGATAATGATAATAATAATAAGCACAGAGCCCAAATGGTTAGGAGTTAAAAGTTGAAATTTTGGTACACAGTTAGGGTATGTTGTGAGAACATACACTAAGAAGGGAATTTTTTAAATTCTCTCCTGCAGGGGGAGAGGAACAGGATTAAGGCTTACTGTGAAGAACTCAGTTTCTACTGTATTATTTTAGATGCATTTTTTTGCGTTTTAATAGGGTATGCCATGAGAATGCACATTAAGAAGGATTTTTCGAAATTCCCACCGCGGGGGAGAGAGCAAGAGGGTTAAGGATTACCCCAAAGAACTCGGTTTCTACTGTACTATTTTTGATGCCTTTTTTGCATTTATGTGGGAAATTGAACATATTTTTAGACCCATCTAAAAATTCTCAGCGCCCACCAGTGGCCGAGTGGTCTTCGTACCCTAAACACTGGGAGTTCGGTCGTGGGTTCGCGCCGCGATCGGACAGGCTGGCTGCTTGGAGTTTTCCGGGTTTTCTCCTTGCCAATAACGACTAAATAGGAGGCCAGTTCCCCATAAAAGTCCTCCCGGAAGGCATTAGTTCCCCTCGCGTAACATCGCGCCCCAGAGAAGGCAACGGGAAACCACTCTGGGTAGTAACTTTCCCTAGTATACACCTTGGCGGGTTACTAACCTATGTCAGGTGTCGCCGACGTCAGGAATCTGATATGGCACCAAGAAGAAGAAGAAAAATTCTCAACGATATTTAGTGTTCCATTGTATATAAAGTTGACACAGGGAGCACATGCGCATAAGTTCACTTTATTTGAACTCTTCATCTTAATGTTCGATTTTATGTTTGAATTTATATTTATGAATGATTCTGAAAGATCTAGCTTATTTTTTAAATTTAGTAAACTTGAAGAAGAACCCAGAAAGAGTTATGAAAACGTTTATTATTTATCACTTAGTGGTACTACGCACCAGTTAGCGAGTCTTAATTATCATTATCCTGTGTGGTAAGCAGATATCTAAAAATTTTCTTATTAGTCTTGGAAGAGGGGGACCTAATTCTTGCACACAGTGAAAACGGGTAAGATCGGCTATAATTTGCTATTGTTACTTTTTGTCCGCGCAACATCAGGCTCACCTGCTAGTATAATAATAAAATGAATGACAAAAATACATGATAATTTTTTAACTGTCATACTAAATACAGTCTAAAATCAAGTATCATACAGAATAATGGTTTGTCAGAAAGAACAATAGTATTAGTGTTCTTTGGGACAAATTGCTGGAAACATTTTACAATAAATTTCTTTGTTTTCTAAAACAAACAGTTGTTTTTTGATTTATTGCACTTTACAAATATTTAATGTTAGCAATATTATATATTTTTTAATGATATAAAATTATTTAGTGAATTGAAACCTCTTCAAATAATACACAGGCTTGTTAATATTGAATAATAGTTACATTAGTTAGAAAATATTTGCATAATTTAATCTGAAAACTATTTAAATTTATAACTAGCTAGATTGTTAATGAAATAATAATTTGCATATTACATAAATTTAAATGTGTGTTTTTATATTATTGTTATTATAAGAACTACTCAGTCTTGCTTCTGGCATTATTACTCATGAATTTTGATATAATAAGACACCAACCGAATGCCGTAAATTAATCGGGCATTCGGTTGGTGTCTTATTATATTGGATATCGGGTTTGGAGATGTTTATTTATGAATTTTGATATATGTAATTTCTTAAAATTTGATTTTTGATATTTATGATTATAACTAGTGTTTGTAGTTAAATTAGACTTTGTTTGGTTTTTATTTATAATTTTCATAACTTTGATTGTCTTGGCAATATAAGTTATTGGTAATTTTATTAAAACATACACATAATTTGTATGTTTTGATAAAATTACTAATTATTCCTATTAAGATTTATTTCTGATAAAATTATTTCTTTGACAAATGGTTGTATATTTTTGCAATAAATTTTCTTTTCTGACAATAAATTCTTAATAGTATGATGTATAATTTTATGATATAAGCTACTTTAGAAATCTAGTGGGAAAATGTTTATTTTGTTGATTGTAGAAAGTTAAGTTAAATATAATTTTGGATAAATTGAGAATTAAATGATAGAAATTATGAAGTTCACTATTTACCATTTAGAAAAATAATGGTTATTTTTTATATAATTTAAAACATTTTTAAAACCATAAGAAACTAAAAAGTTAAAATAATTGTATAAATCAGAATTTTCAGTTATTGTAACAAATAATCCTTCTGTTGTAAAATACAATTAAAGTTAAATGTTCATAAAGGATATTGAAAATTTTTTAAAAATTTATTTATGATTATAAAGATTAAATAAAAAACTTTTTTTTTCTTATTATTTAAATATATTTTATGATTACAATAGGTTTATTGTTGAAGTTGTTGGAAATATATTTATCCCATTCTACAACACACAAAGATTTAAAAGAAATTTTGCTTTTACTTCGACCTGAAATAGATGGAAAACAAGTAAGTTGTTATATTTTTGAAATAAAATGTTGTATTAAATAATTTACTAGTAATAATTTAGTAGTATGGTTTTATCTTAATGTGAAATAGAATTAGAACAAAAGTAAGACATATTTGAAAATACAGTTGGTATTGCATATTGTAATCACTTTGGAATTGGTCTATACTGATAACAATTACCAATTGATAAGTCATGTAGTAAAGATAATTAAACCACAATTAGTTGAAAATTTAGTTTTATTGAATCAGACAATTTAAAAACATGTAAAATTAATTAAAAATATTTATAAAAACATATGCATCTACCTGATTTGATTATCAATGCCAAACAAATTGCCAGATCATTGCTCAGGCTGTAACAAAGCTAATATAACGATTAGATGTAAATCCATTTGTCTATAGGTAGATAGTTATGCCACCATCTAGAGAAAATTTAATAATTAGAAATAAATTTCACTTTTAATTTAAAGTTAGAATATTCTGAAAGAAAGATTGGTCTGGAGTGTAACTTGAACACTCCTGCTTACCATGTAGATATGTTACCAGTTATGCTACCTTGACATTTGTGCAATCATGAAAATTGCATGGGTGTCCAGGAATTTATGACTGGAAATGGCTTTAGTGCCCACTGCCCTCTAAGGCTCTCAGCTGACTTATGCTTTTACTTCAAGATGGTAAAATAGATTATTTAAAACTCTATTTTTTAAACTAAAGACTCTTTAATCAACATTATTTTAATAAGTTAACTTTATTTAATAACTTATGATTTTTTTAATTTATATGTATTTATTATTATTTTTTTTATATTACAGTTTGCATATGTTTTACCTTTTATGCATATTCTGTCATCTGTTGCAAAGAAGTTTACTCATCAGGGACCATCTTATTTTTTTGATTTTCAAGATACTCACAATGTAAGAATTTCTATTTTGATGGTATTATGTGTATAAAAGATTGTTGAGATGTTTATTAATGTGTTTGCTGTTTATATGTTTTTAAGAATTTCTCAAAAAACATTTTGCATTTAATAAAGCAATAATTAGGTTTGACAGATCTAAAGAGGTGACAGTTATAGCAATATTATAAAAACTGATTGGTTTGTGTTCTAATTTTCATCATTGTGTCAAAAGTACACATAATTGAATCAGTCAAAATGAAATACACACAATTATAATTTACCGCATAAAGAAAATAAATGAAAATAATTCTCCTATGTAAAACTGATTCCATTATTAACTTAAAGTGAATCTCTTGATATATTTGTCTTTTTATTTCTCAGTACTGAAGATCGTGTGACCGCAGGGTCGGCACCTCTTTGGCACCCTGTCAGGATGACACCACTGTGTCCCTTAACGGACACAGAAAAAAGTTATTGGCCGTTTATTTTGTTATGCGAGCGGTCGCGTTTGTGGACTTTTAGTTCCGGGATGGAGGCGTAACGAGAGAATCAGAGGGAGTACACTCTACATAATCTATACATAATGCCCGTTTATTGTGCATACTATATACAATTGCAATAGCTATATACAATAGGTTCAATTAACATATCGATTTTCTGTCCGGTTACCCGTATTCCTGAGAGAGAGAGTTCACATGTATTTCGCGCGAGGATAAATACCTTGGTTTAAATCGTCGATTAGTCATTTTCGTCCTCGAGTCTCTAGACTTCTCAAAGTTCTTTCGAACGTTGATATGCTTTTTCCCAGTTGCACAAAGTTCTTTCGAACGTTGATATGCTTTTTCCCAGTTGCACAAAGTTCTTTCGAACGTTGTTGGGCGTAGTCCTTCCGAACAGCGACGATTAGATGAGTTCCGGGTAGCGGCTAATCCGTTCACGTAAAATTCACAGTGCACCAATTTCCAGAGACTGACTCTTACATATCGACCCCTCCTTTTTATAAAGAGGGTCTCGTTGGGTTTTTTCCACTGCCTTATTAGGACTGTTTTTTTCACCCTTGACCAATAGTCTTTTTCGAGATTTTGGGTGACACATTCGATGTATCATACTTGACAAGGAACTAAGTTCGTGGGAAAAGATTTTTATGTTCTTTTTTTATATCGGGTTGAAGTTATTTTTTTTTTACTTTTCCTCCCTCAACAAAAAATTTATTTAACAATTTATTCCCTAAATTCGACTCTCACAATCGGTCTAATTAACTTTGTCATTTGTTTTGCCATTTTTTACTATTAAACTCTTGTTAGTAATTTTAGCAGAACATAATGCTTCATAGAAATATTCAATAGTCAACATATTCTATGTAAAGTTATCCTTTAACACTGCCAAGTTAGAGTTGTTTTCATGATAGATGTTATGTTCTGCTATTAAGGATTTCTTTCACATGTCAGTAACTGTAACTAAGATGATGTTTTAATTGAGGTGGTGTCATACTATAAATATAACATAAAAAATAAATCTTTAACTTCCAGGTGTCTCTTTTCATTTCTCAGTATTTTGTAATACATTTCATTTTATAGTGTCATATTTTTCTTCTATTGATTGATTTTTAAACAGATTTTTCCTTGGAGTTTTTTCTTATGCTTTGAATATTATAGCTGCAAAATTTAATAATATCCTGCTTGTTTGATAAAGCTCCAAAAACACAAAATAGAGAGTGTTTAATTATGGCTATACTGTATTTAATTAAATCTACTACCATTAACTTTTTTGAATTTTTATTTGTTTATACAGTAGAACCTCGATTATCCGCCCCCCGATCAACCGACCCCTCGGTTAACCGACCGTCCTAGTCGGCAAATTTCAAATGTCCGCTAGTGATGTGGCGCTACAATATTTGGCTATGTCTTGGCTACTTTAATATTATTTTTACGTGTTTTAGCTGGCAACACTCATTCGACCATGAAAGGGAGCCAGTATTTAAACGAAGCTTAATTTTCTAATTTTTAACGATACAATAGCGACGATTATTATTTAAAAAAATTTTTGTTAGGCTTAACATCGATGAAAATTCAATGCAAAATAGGTTAATAGCGATATACTAATATACTAATACACTAATTACATGGGATATAGTAATATACTACACTAATAATGGACTTTTTCATACTTTTCGGTTATCCGCCCTTTCAATTATCCGACCAACCCCAGTCCCCAATTAGGGCGGATAATCAAGGTTCTACTGTATGTCTATTCTGAAGATCAGGGCACAGATGTCTTGGAAGTACAAAATTTTTTTTATATCCTGACTTATTGATATAAGCTGTAGTATGAAATTAATATAGAACACAGTATTAAATGTAAATTCTTCCAGCATATGAACATATGAACAAAGATGTTATCAAGCAGCAAAATATTGGTCACAAATTGAGTCTCAAAAGCATATATACATACATATAAACAATGCTTATTATGAGCAATATTTGCATACAAAACAATGTTGTATAGACAAAATAACTTCTGCTTATACAAGATGTGTCTAGTAAGTTTGAAGACTGTATTTATAAAAAAAAATTGTCAAAAATGATTTAGTTTAGCATCAGTCTTCATATAATACAGTGGATTCCGCTTAATTGGGACACCGGTTAATCGAGACAGCTACTTTATTGGACCAAATCTCAAAGAACGGAAACCAAACTAATAAATTAATACATAATTTAATCACTTAATTGGGACAGTAGCAGAAAAGGAATTTAGCAATTTTTGATATATTTTAGTAATCTTCTGAAAATATGTAGGCACTATGTACACTAATGTCATATAGGCCTAATGATTGGCAGAGACAAAGTGATTTTGTCTTGCTTGCACTTCGGTTTTTCTGGAGGGGGTAAGCATAGAGGGATGTATCACACAGGAATTTCATCTGAGGCAGAGCTGAATGTGAGTTACCCTGCTCTGGATTGGACCAGATGATCCCCTTAAAAACAAAGGGACAAAGGTCACCAGACAATTTTTTGAGGTCTCTTGACTGAGTTGGAAGACAGCTAGAGTTCCCTTGGAAGGTATTGTATGCATAATTACGTTTAGATTCGGACAGCAGCCCTGTAATTGTTGAGACCAACGTCGAGCTGGCGGATTCTACGGACACTCCCACCAAAGTGGCCCATCTCCAAGTAAAGGAAACTGTGCTCAAAGGAAGACTGTAAAATGACTTTTGGTCAAACTTTTTTCTTTCTTCCTTTTTAGTTAGAATATGTTGTAACTAAAAGAAAGAAAGGAAAAATTGTTTGATCAGGAACGGATCGAATGGTCAACCCGTTACGTCACTACTAATATTGGCAACACTAGCATTATGCGAATCTGTTACTTATGGTCGTGAGTCTGGCAAATTTATAGTACAAATATTTTCTGTATTTTGGTTTAATAAAGCATTAAAATAGGTTCCTAGTTATTAATTTTTACCTATTTATATATTTACCTATGTATTACATATTCTACTGTACAATTTATTAGTTCATTTAATTGGGGTAACTGCTTATTAATTGGGCCAAAATGGATTAGTTCCAATGTGTCCCAATTTAGTGGAATCCACTGTATATACTCCTCCATGATCTATACAAATTTTTGCATGCTTTTGTAATTTATGTATGCTTTCATGAAAGAATTTTTTGAAATGATGTTTATAGTCTCTTGAATTTCCAAAATTGACTGAAATTATGCATTTTTTAAAGCAAATATTAATCTAAGGAACAGAAGTCTCAACTCTATTGAGCCCCAATTGACAATTAAAATTTGCTTTGAAAGGGAGACAGTTTCAGTCAATCTTGGAAATTCAAGAGGCTGTATGGAAGGAACTAAACAGCATTTCAAGAATGTTTTTCATGACAGTATACATAAGTTACTAGAGCATAAAAAAATTTGTGTAGATTATGGATGACTGATTTTGAAGACTGATACTAAATTGAATCATTTTTGCCAAATCTTTTTATTTATAAATTGTAACATTCATTTGTTTTGATTGTGTTAGTAATATTTTATGATTATTTATGATTAAAGTTATATTTATATAAATTAATATTTATACATGTGTCCTACAATTTATTCTGCTGATAAGAATTTTTTTCTATTTATATTATGCAGGGTATAACAATTTCTGGATTACGGAAGTGGCCTGGAATGGGATTTACCTTTCATACTTGCTTATGTTTGGATAAGATAGAGAAAGAAAGTCCTAGAAAGTATAAAAGAAGACAATTATATAGGTAATAAAAGCCTGCAATAAATTTTACAGAATATTGTGAATTTAATATATTTAAATGAAAAAGTGAAAATACTGTAGTTTTATAATTAATGTATTTATTATTTTTTTATCTTTATTGTTTTCTTTCAGTGGAATTTTTTTATAGGACAATTTTTACTTATCTTGTTGTATATGAACAAATCTATATAAATAAAAATGTAATGTCTTTTTGTTCCTAATAGCTGATCTCTGAAAGTTCTTCATCGATTGCTTTGAAATTTTCACACAATGTTCCATTTGAATATGGGCGTGTTTTTATATAATATATATATCAAAATTCCTTCCCCCGTGAGTTAATAACAAAAAAGTTATTTTTTAATGAAATCTTCGTTTGTTCCTAATAGCTGATCTCTGAAAGTTCTTCATCGATTGCTTTGAAATTTTCACACAATGTTCCATTTGAATATGGGCGTGTTTTTATATAATATATATATCAAAATTCCTTCCCCCGTGAGTTAATAACAAAAAAGTTATTTTTTAATGAAATCTCATAACAGATGGTGCCACATACAATTTTAACTTAGTACTAGTGTGTCTTAGTTTTTCTTAAACAAATATTTTTTGCCTGGAAAATTATGAAATATTTAGCTATAAAAGTTTGAAAATTAATTAATTCGTATTTACAATTCCATATTTTTTGTTTTTTTGTTGACTATTGCCATATAGTTCAAGAGACATTTCTGAGAACGAAACTTCAGTTTGAGACATTAAACTTACAGAGATGCACTCTCTTAACAACATTTTCTCATGATCCAACTATATGATAAGAGTGGGAATACTATCACATACATTTTAATCAGAAAAATATTAGAATTATTTTTAAAGGTTATTTGATGTTTAAAGAGGAATTAATCCATATAAATAAAAATATAATGTTCATTTGTTCAAAATCTTAAATCTCCGAAAGATCTTCACCGATTGCTTTGAAATTTTGACACAATGTTGCATTCAAATTCGTGTGTTTTTATATAATTTAGATGTTAAAATTCCCCCGTGGGGGAGAGGGACAGGATTAAGGCTTACCCTGAAGAACTCAGCTTCTATTATACTATTTTAGATGCAGTTTTTTGCGTTCTTGATTGCGTTTAAATAGGGTCCGTCAAGAGAATGTACACTAAGAAAGGATTTTTCGATATCCCCTCGCGGGGGGGGATGTGTTATACATTTATAATAGATACATTTTGAGCCACAGCAACGCATGGCCAGGTCTGCTAGTTTTATATATAAATTTCTCTTACATGTAAAAATATTTTTAAGAAGGAATCTATATGTAAAATACATTTTCCTAACAGTTTTTTGAATTCTTACGGCTCTGGATTTGAAGCATTTTTTACCGAAGATTCCATAATGGTTGTAACAGCAAGTACCAAGAAAGAATATCATGCTGCTGTAGTTACTGATTGTTGTCTTGATGATGGTGCTTGGGTAATTGAATTTGCTTTTTAAAATTCAAGATTATGGCTTAAAAAATTCTATGCTTAATTAGTGTTATAGTTTTTTTTATTAAAAATATACTAATTATACTTTAGTCTATAGAAATTTTTTCTGCATATTTCCTTATCTTAAAATCTTTTGACAGAACTTGAATATTGTTTTATAATAACTATTAGATCACATTATTTTAATATTTATAAATTTTTTATTGCTATGAGGCATCTTTCAATATTGATTTCCAATTAATTTAAGTAAAAATAATTCTCTCTTTCTACTCTATAATGGAAAAATTTGTACAAATATGAGCATATAAGGCTATGACTAAAAATTAAATTATTTATTAATATTTTAATTATATATGATTTGCCAAAAATATCAATTTTCTGTTATCATTTATCCATTTTCTTATAATTATAGTTTTAATAATTCTAATTAATTAATTAATATAACAGAAGTGTTAGTTGATTTAATAAACATGTTTTATCAATTAAGAGGTTTCGTGGACAACAGTGTATCCTGCAAAACTACAAAAAACAAATTTGAATTTGTCAATAACTTGCTTTTGACAAATTTGAATTTGTGCATCATCAATCTATCCTCTAAGAAATTCTCATGGTTCAGTTGTATACACCACAAGTTACAACTTGTGGTGTATACAACTGTATTGACATAGTGAATGACAAATACCTATCATACTCTGTCCTTTTTGTTTTTTCTTTTTATTTATTAGTGGAGACCCTCTCAATGTCACTTGCTCTCACTTCATATCATATTTATATCATTATTCTCTAGTCTAGTTTTTTAACCTTTTTCTAAGAGTGACACTTCGAATTTCATAATTTTTCCTTGTGGCATCCCTACTCCTTTATATACTTTGTATGTGTATTTATAATATGTATAAATTAATTTGACTTGTATACAGTATTTTCAATAAAATGATTACAAATATATTAAATAATTTAAATTACATATGAATAATATATTTTAATAATATACATAAAAATATTATGGTGCTTCTTGTCACTATATTTTGCAGCATTTCTTGAGTGTCATTGTGGCAGTCTAATGTGTCACAGTATCTTGGTTGAAAATTACTGCTCTAACCAGTCAGACCAGCCAGTTAAATTCTCCACTGTTACATCTTTCTTTTTCCTGCACAGCTGATGACTTCCACTTTTTAGTGGAAGTCATCACGCTCAAATATTTCAAAGCTAATGTCAGGATTATTGTCAAAAAGCAACTTTTTCCAGATAAGAGCCAGTTTGATGATTTTTTTTGCCATTCTACAAGTTGTTGATCTAACAGTATAATTTTTTTATACTCTGCAAAGAGCATGTTATTCTCTTGTATTTTCATTTACATTTTCTTCTTCCTCAGTAATGGCCAAAACTTCATTCAGGTATTGTTGCTGGTAGAGCATCTTTCATGAAACATGAGTTGTATCAGAGAAGTTTTATTTGGAGGAAGAAGCCTGATACAAATCTTGCCATCATTGCTGACTAATTTTTTGGCAGCTGAGTGAGGAGGAACATTATCTAACAAAAGAAGAGCTTTTATATCATTGGGAGCCACCTTTAAGATTTTTTACTGGTATTGATATATTTCAAAGACAAAATGTGTGAAAATTCAATCAGAAAATATGCTAGTGTTAACCATGCTGTTTTTGAATGTTAAACAGACAATTGCATTATATAATCTTTCAAAATAAGTACATGGACATTCTGATTAGCTCATACAACAATAGCTTCAGGCTATCAGAACTTGTATAATATAAAGCCTAAAAAATATCTTGCTCATTTTCTTTCCAGGAATTTTGTCCTTGTTTCTGAAAGTTTGAGTTTATTTTGATAAGATCACTAGAATAATCCATTCTTGCCTCCATTAAATATCTGAGATAAGAGCATGTTTGGCTTCATTAAGGTGGTCTGAAAGGCTCAACTAAAAATATTGCTGCAGATTCAGCTTCACTTTGTTCATTTCCTGTAACAGCTGCTATGGAAATTTCTAAAATATCAAAAGCCATCTGTCATTAGCTTTGAAATTATTAATAATCATATGTCAGCCAGTTTCTTAACTACAATGCATAAAATAACACCAATAGTATTAATGCCAGATGATTACTTTTGCACATACCTTTTATAAACAGCTTCTAGATTTTTATTTCTTCTAACTTTTATGTGCTTTATGTCACTCATGGGATCCATACTTTTAATACAAAGATCTAAGGCTTTCTTTTGTCCTTGAGAATATGAGAAACTATGCTTTTTAACTCGGTATATCACTGCATTTTAATTGCTACTGAGATACTATTCTCAAGCTTTTAAATCAGCTTGAGCTTTTGACCAACACTCAATTGTACTGTATATTCCTTCTTTTAATATCTGTATGTTTTTTTTTTATTATTTGTGGTTTTAGGTCCCTTACCGCTCAGAGAGCACAAAGAGGCCAAAATATCTGTATGTTATGAAGTAATTACTAGTTACAAAAATGATTTGAAATAATACTAACTGTACTAACTAAAATAATTATACTAACTAAATAAAATAACACTTAATGGATAAAGTTGATTAAAGTTCACTGTCCTTGCACTCATGGTCAGGTACAACAAAAACAATATTGCTTCTGTGTGAGTGCTAACTAGGAAATATCCTGTGAATTACAGTTAGCATTCAGAAAGTAGTGATATAGTGAAATTTCAATTATTCAGAATATTGCCTGGAAAATTGAGGTTCATGAAATCAAGGGAAAGCAAAAAAAGTTGTAAATTAGTTTAAAATAGCTATGCAATTTCTACATAATCTTTTTATAATAATTTCTGTGTAAATTGATTTTTAGAGAAATTTTAATCAATGATAAGTATTTTTTAAAGATATTAAGTGTTTTAATTTTTAATAGCATTGTGTAACAATTTGTCATATGCCTTCACGTCGTCCATTTACTAATAGTACATTGGTGGTTACTATTGACAATAAACAAAAACTAACAGCTCAATTAAAATTTCCATCTTTAAATGAGGTAAGGAATATCTTTAGCTTATATATACAGAGAAATATAATTATAATTATAATAATTTTAAAAAATAGATTAAATAAATTTTAACAATTTTAAATTTTTAAGCCTTTTACTTCTTGTAATATTGGAAGTGGAATAAAAACATGTGTGTCCCGTCGAAGAAACAGTGCCAGTGATCCAGCAAATGAAAACAAATCATACAGTTTTTCAAGTTTAGGTGGTGCTACTATTGGCCATTTGTCAAATCTTCTTGACAAAGAAAAATTATTATCATTAGCTCCTAATCTTACTTTATCACAGCAATTAAAAAACATGCTTCAGAGTACACCTGATCCTGCTGTACAGTCATGCCCATTTGGTTCTCAGGATACTATATGGGGATCATCAGATTCTTTAAAAGGACAAATGATGTCTGTCTGTGTTTTTTCTGAGGCTCTTTTACCTGCTCAGGTGAAAGCACTACAATTATATGGTAAACTGAAATTATATTTTATTTCTATATAATAATTTATGTATTGCTTTATAAATTAAATCTTGTGGCTTATTTATTTTTTCAATTTTCAGATCAAAATAATTCATCATTTTTTACTGATGACAGTTCTGAAATGGTGGATATCTCTAACAAACTTGTTCTGTATTATAATGCAAAAGTAATTATAATTAGATTTTTTATAGTTCTTTATAAAATTATATACATACAGTAGAGCGTTGATTATCCGAATGTCAATCAACCGAAACATTGGTTAACTGAAAGCGTTCCAGTGAGACTGTGTCTTGCTGAATCGAACATTTTTGATACTAGATTAACTTTTAAAGTATAATTTTTTTTGTTTTTATATTTTTCAATATATTTATTTTGTTTGTACAAAATAAAAAATAATTTTTAAGGATACAATAGCACGATTATTATAATAAAAATTTTCATTAGGTTTAACATTGATGAAAATTCAATGTGAAGCGACATGCAACGGAGAAAAATTTAAACATGGGATATAGTAATATACTATATTAATAATGTATTTTTTCATATATAATCGGTTATCCAAAAAATTGATTTTCTGAACGATCCCAGTCCCCAATTGATTTGGATAATCGACACTCTACTGTATATATATAATTTGTTTATTATATAAGCTGTTGTTAATATGAAATTGTTGTTTTTTTTATTTTAGTTTATCTATTTTGTTATTTGTTCTGGAATTTGTTAATATCATATATTATCTGCATTTTTATCATGTTTTTTAATTATTTTTTTTTTTTTGATACATAAAGAACATCAGAATTTCAGAAATCAAAATGCTTATTCTATCTAAGTATGCTATTATTAGAGTTGTGGTATTCAGCTGGTGTAATATCTGCCTATTATAAAAAAATTTTTATATATTGTAATGATTGTAATGATATATTATAATAATTTTATATAATGTATGATTGGCTCTTGTATGGATTTTATCAAAATATCATTTATCTTTTTGAATGTACAGTAGTCACTGCATATTGTGATTACATTGGTTCAAGATTGTTCTGATAATAATATGTGGCTAATAACAATCAATATCCAGCAGCCATAATTTTGCAGGGCATTAGTGTACAAGGACATGTATTTACTCCGCAACTATGTGGTGAATTAGTTGATCATGATCAATGTATATGAGTGCTGATGTTCTAAAAATATATCTTATTCAGGAATAGCAGTCATAGAACAGTGATTTTCAACTAATGATATACAAACTGGCATAGAACAGTTTTTAATAATTATATAATCAGTGTCATATTTTAAAAATAACAAAGATAGTTATTAAATATGATAACACTTCCAGAAAAGAAATAACTAAAGTTTTATAAAAGTTATCTTAAACTAATCATAATTTGTCAGTTATAAATATCATAAATGCTCTTGTTTAATCTGGCAACACAGCAGGCTGGTCACAATAACTGGCAAGATTTTACACAGAAAATATAGAAATAGTTTGGGAAAATGGATTTTGATTACATTAAGCAACTGATAATATTAATTAGTGATCATAATAAGCAGTGATCACTGTACTATTGTTAGGCTTAATGATGTCATCAGGGTTAAAAACTTCTTGATCTACACTGAGAAAATTATAAATTACTTAAAATAATTGATACAAAACATTTACAATTTAAGTAATATAATTAATTTATTCAATTGTGGTAATAACATTTTGTGAAAATGTTTCAAATTAATGTATTATTTTGCAGTATTAAAAATGACTAATACTACTTTAATATCTTGTAAATAAAATATTAGGTATTTTAATTAATAATATCTGATATAAAAAAAAAATGGCTAGTCTCTAATCAGTAAGAATAATAATAGCTTTGAAGCTTCATATAAAATATTTTCAATTTTACATATTGATTGCCTGAAGAAATGTGAACTAGATTATCTGAAATATCTTATTAAAATTTTTTTGGTTGTTTACTTAATATACAGGGGATCATAATTAAAGTTGCTTTATCCAGAAGACTACAGCACCAACCAATTCAACGAAAAATTTTAGTTTCAGAATTGTTCACTACAGGTAAATGAAATTGCAAGCACAGAAATGTGATATGTGTAGCTATGTGCAATGCAGCAGAGACTGGGTATAAAAATGATTACAACTAGTGAATGCCATTCTTATCAGTTATAGCTACAATGGTCATTACATTACCAGAGCATGCATTAATTGTAAAGCTCTTTTATGAAAATCAGGATAATGCTGTGGCCACTATTTGCAAATATCACCATCATAAGAACTTACACATTGGACCAGTATCTCCACAGGCTGTCAGGAAAATGATAACATGATTTGAGATAAATGGATCCTTAGGAATTCAACATGGCAGAGGATGAAAGATTATTACTGCAGAAATTGTTGAAGATGTGACCATGGCTGTTGTTGAACAGCCAATGGTGCCATTTGCAACACCTTTTCCCCTGTACCAGAAAATTTTGGAACAAAAATTTTTCTTTGCAAAATCCTTTTCCACATTCTTTAAATAGTATGTACACAAATTTTGGTATCAGTCAGCTTATTGGTTGGAGCTAGAGTCCTCTGAATAGGACAACTTTAATTATGATCACTTGGTATATTTGTATTATCATTTGTAATCATATTATATCATTTATATGTATTAATATTGTAATATTCTTAATTGTTCTTTAAATTTTGATCTCATTATTATACTAGTAAATGTTGTGTTTTTGTTTAGGCTTCTGCAAATGGTATTTGTACAGATTTATCATCAAATCAGATATATGAAGGAAAAGTTTCTGGAAATGTTTGTGCTGTATCAAGCATAAAGGTTGGTATTATTATTATGCAAAACAAATTATTTTATATTAAAAATAAATATTTTAAGTAAGAATGGAAGTTGTAATTATTTGTTTTTTTATTTATATAAGAGATATAATTCATATTTAGAAATAAAATAAATATAAGTGTAATTGATAAGAAAGACAAACATACAATTAATTAAAAATTAAATTCTGTATAATAGAAGAAACACTCAAAACACTTAAAAGATTGTTTTTATAATCTACCCTTTTTTCACATACCTCAAGAACACAACAGTCACATGGCAGAGGAGTTAACGTTTGTTTTGTTGTTCTCTGCTTCATTACATAAAACTTCTTAAAATTGTCCCTCTGATGACTGCACAATGTAAAAATTTTGAGATGTAGAAGATCCTCAAAATAAAAGTCAGTTCTGTCAAGTGATTTTGTTGTGTTCCTGAGTTGTGTGATAAAAGACAGATTATGAGAGTATGAAGAAGTTTTTTAAATCTTTTTTGAGTGTTTCTTCTCTTATACAGAATTTTTAATAAATATCATTAATTATACAGTTTTACAGATCAAATGATTGAACAAAAAGACAATACAAGGAGTTGGCTATATTGTGTCAACTAAGTTTGTTATTACACTGCTATAAAATAAAGTTAGTAGTCAACTCTTACTTTATAAAGCCAAAATTTGAATTTTTTATAGTTGTATGAACATGATTGTAAAACATTCCAGTCTATTGAGCTGAATGCTTTAAAAATTTCATTAGATTTGCTTCTAAGAATGTCCAAATGTTTCAAAATTTTTTCTTAGTTAACTTTTTGTTTATGATAACAGAGTTTGAGACTACAGAGTAACATTTTTATTGAAAAGTTTGTAAACATAAATTTTTATAGGCATAGATGATTTGGAATATTTTCTTGCAAACTGTTTTGATAACCTTTTCTTTGTGTAACTTTCCCCCATGAAAACTTATTCTGTAGTGTATGGCATTTTCAGTTATTTCAATAATAACAATGAGCTAAAACTACACTTGGGAGTTGTAATAATGTTAGGGTGCCTGATTCACCCTATCACATTACCAACTCTCTCACTGAATCAATGTCATCAAACTCCTCCTCATACTATTTCTCACAAGTCATTTTTTCATTTGATCCTCAGCACTATGCAAATGCTCCAGTATTTTTGAGGTAATAGTACACATCAGTTTAGAAGTTTTTAATTCTGGCTATTTGTTTTTAGTGGAATATTGATTGTATTTTGAAACTCCCATTATTAATTAATCTTTATCTAAAAGTAAGATTTGTTACTTTTTCTTGTTTTTAATACAGACAATATAAATTAGTTGTAAAAGTATTTGTATTACATTTTTTAATTTTAAAGAATTTTATCATGTAAATAAAAAAATAAAATATAACATATTTGAAATTGAATAAATTTAAAATTTTGGTTTATATAAAATGTAAAAATATTAATATGAACTAAACATAATACATAAGTATTTTTAAACAAAATCAACTGCTTTATTGGAGTCAAAATGGCTGTATAATACAAAACAACAACAACAATTTTAACATTTTCAGATGTAAAACATATATATTTGAATTAAATTTATATTTGTGGTATGAGTAAATTTGGGAATTTAAATTTTATAATAAAATATTTATTATAAATTTTTATTATTTTAAGGATGCAATTAATACTTGTGGTGGGATATCAGCACTTTTACCATTGTTAGAAAATGCCAGCCGTCCTATATCACAGGGTCACTCAGTTTTTGCTGATTTAATTCCTCAAGATAGCATAGAAGAAGTTAGTGAAGAATGGGTGGTTCTTCCCAATAGTTCATATTCAGGTATTTTCTTATAATAAATTTTATTTTTCATTGAAAGTGTTCAACAATTTTTTGTGACAAATTTATTATTATTTTAGTGCATTATAAGAAGGATTTTTACTGTATTATCTCTAAATAATATGTTAAAATTAAATGATCTTTCTACTCTGTTTCTGTATCTTATGTTTAATTTTATATAATTTTTAATTTATTTTGTAAATTTGGATTTATTATGCCATTAAATCTCATTACATCTCAGCCATCAAAGAATTTTAGTGACTGATAATTTATCATTTAGAAAAATCTGGAATCTATATTTTTCCTCTATTCCAGCATTTCCTAAACTTTTTTAAATTAAAAAACACTTTTCATTTCATAATGTATTTATAGAATACTTACATTTTTTTGTGGCTATTTGGTATTTAAAATAATAAAAAATGCATAATGCTTTTTCAACTAATTTTATATTTTATGTGCAGTAAGCTAGAACTTCTATATATTAATTTCAAAACACCTTTTTCTGTTTTTCTAACAAATTTTTAAATTAAAATAATGTTTTTTGGCCATCTTAAGTAGCCTCCTTCAGGTTAAGCATAATTTGGAATGTCAGTTAGAACTTAAATTATTTATTTTATTTCAATTTTTTGTTAAACCATGATGTCATAAGAATGTGAGTGAAGCTTGATGTTTCAAATTTTATGTTCTAATTTGTGTTTTGTTGTGTTTTGAAATTAATTCCATATTGTATTGGCCTGAATATAAGTGCACTTCAGTGGATGAAGACTTATTAATCAGGCTAGAAACATTTGTTTTAATTAAATTTAATTGCTGGAAAAGCATGTAAGGTGCTTAGTGTTTTTATATATTCTTGAAAGTTTACTAACCATCTGGAATTTTTTGTTGGTCACTCAGGTCAATACCATAAAAATGTCCAAGTTTTGGACCTATAAGATTTTGAGGTCAGATTGAATAAGGGCACATTCATTCAGATACTTCTATCTAGTTCATATTGATTTCATAGTTGGCTTCTTTAAAAATTAAATTTGAGCCAGTTAGTTCAATGGTGTTATTTGATCAGTCCAGCTCTTTTTGTTAGCATAGTTCCTCTTTGATTCACTACTAATCTCTCTCTTCAGAAACTCAAAGATATTTTGTCTTGGATGTGATTTTTTGGCTTTGGTTACAATATTGTAATTTCTTTGCTTCCAGACCATTAAAAATGTCTGAAAGCAAACAATTAGATGGAGGTTCAAGAAGCATAACTGGCAATGCATCTGGATGCTAAGCGGCAGTTGTGAGTTTGAGTCTCACTCTGAGTTGATTCTTTTCTTCCAGAATTTTCTAAATTATTTAATAAATATTAATTTAATTATCATTATTTTAAAAATTTAATAAGAGATGGTGCCTAATACCTATCTCTAGTGCCAAATTACTTGGTATTTAATAATTATTATTAGTGGTAATGTAGTCTAATTTAATCTGATAATTGTTTGGATTTAATATAATCATCAGGCTTTGAGATGTTTATATACTGCTGGCCAAGTAAAATGCAACACCATGTAGGACTCTAGATATTGCAGGTGTTGCATTTTACTTGGCCAGCAGTGTATTTGCACTTACAATGATGTATCTTTTGAACATAGAATGTAATGGAAAAGTTTTTATTAATCTAGAAATATTTATAATAGGAAAAAATGGTAATTTATTTTAGCTTCAAAGTAGATAATATTTAATTTTTTATATAATTCTGAAAAATAATGATTAAAAAATCTCTACATGCATTAAAATAATTTTTAATTATAGATTGGCATTTATGTCAGAATCAAGTATCAGGATTTCTTCTTTTGATATTGCATCTAATTGAAAATAATGTTGTAAATCAAGAACAACTTCTTGGTAAAAGTGGAATTCCAACAATTGGCACTCTTATGCAAAGGGTAAACATATTTTTCATTGTTTTATTACTATTAGTTGATAATATTTAGAGTAATTTTAATCTTTTCCTTCAAAAATAGTAATTGATATTTGTCTTGCTAAGATTAACTTTTAAACAATCAGTTGATATTTATGTTTTATTATGTGTTTATTGAAGGAAAAAAAATGGAGTTTGAGGAAATAAATTCATAAAATGATGCTTTTATGAAAAATGGTAATAATAATATATATTGTATCATTTAATTAGTAATGTTTGTCAGGTTTATTGTATATGTAATTACAGTAGTGCCTTGTACTTTGAATTTAACTCATTCCAGAAGGTCATTCAAATTCTGAAGCATTCAGAGTCACTAAAAGTACAAGGTACCATTATATTTAACTCTGTTCTATCAAACCTCACAATTTGTTAATGAATTGTTGAAATATTGGGTGACGTGATGCATTAATCTGCATGAATGTTGGCACAGAATAATGGGTAGACAGAAAATTGAAATATGATAAATAAAACCAAAAATGAAAAAAGTTTTAAACTCATGAAATGATTGGTGAAATATTTTGAATTTCCAGTGGAATCACTGGATATTGGAAGGAATTTTAATAACAACAAAACTTTATCATATAGTATTGTTCACTTTTCAAATCTGTCTTTAACAATATAACTATAAAAGTTAAACAGGTAAATAACTTCTATAATAGACAACAACTGTTTATTATCTCTGAAGATTGCAAGCAATCAATTCTAAAAGTATGGAACATTTTTATTACTTTCCTGTGTCTGTTATATATATCAAAGGGTAATTGGTAAAAAAAAATGATCTGCCAAGGATATCTTGAAACATCAAGAAATGCAAAAAAAATTGGGGTTTTTTTTCTATATGTATGGATGTTAGTGTGTGTTTGTTCACCTTCTTTGATGATTAATAACTCCTCTGCTTTTTGTCAAAAATTTCTGAAAGTTTGTGTATTAGGGATTGATGCTATTAAGTTCTGGTGGTTAAAGGTCAATGGGTGGAATGATAAAGGAGGGTCATCTGTCATATCTTGAGTAGGGTTGGACTTAATGACAATTTTACTCATTATTAGCATTTACAACTTTTTATAAAATCAGTTCCTATTCTCAAAATTAAGCTATTTACCATTTTATAGTAATTAAAAATATAAAAAGTTTTTATAATAAAATATCATAACAGATGGCTCTTTGTTTACTGTAATTATTTTATTTGTAATTGTGGAATTAGTCTATCCTTAGTTTTGTGAAAGTTCATAGCCATGAAAAGCTAGCTGGATTTGCTGTTGTTTAGAAACATTTTTCAACTTTGTAGAAATTGGCAGAATAGTTAATCATTATATTCTAGGTTTAGAAAATTGTGGCTAAAATATNCCGGTATAGTACACAGCCACCTGTGTCAACCTAGTATAACCCACTAAACCCAACATAATAATAATAAAACAAATAAATTAATTAAAAATAATTTTTTTGGGGTCTTGCTCATTTGTCTCTGTTGGTTCGTTTGTCTCGTCTAGTTTCTCATTGTGTTTGTTTGATTTTCGCGCGTTCTGTCTAGCTGTTAAGTAGTATTAGGATTTGTGATTGAATTTAGTTTTATTAGTATTAAGTAAATATGTCTTCCTACTAACAGTCACTTGGCACTGACTTCTACACTTAGCCCCTATAAGCATTATACTGTACAGTACATTGCCTACCATAACAAAATTTTATTCAATTGCAGCATTATCTTCCTAGGAAGTAACAAGTACTACAGCTAGTGTAACAATATGAAATAAATTTTTTTTTAATATTTAATTGTGGAATTAGTCTATCCTTAGTTTTGTGAAAGTTCATAGCCATGAAAAGCTAGCTGGATTTGCTGTTGTTTAGAAACATTTTTCAACTTTGTAGAAATTGGCAGAATAGTTAATCATTATATTCTAGGTTTAGAAAATTGTGGCTAAAATATAAGAAAAGTCCATATTTATCTGTGTCTGTGAGATAGTAAAAAAAATTTGATATTATTCTAGAACAACATTTATAAAATGATGATCTGGTAAACTATATGGTTTTGGAGAATGAAGTTTAGGGTTTTATGTAGAAATTGCTTTACATATATTTTTAACTTTTATGTGTTATTTTTTGTCCTGCTCTGTTATTATTTTTAACCTTTACTTAACTAAAGGTTCTTATATTACCGTGTTTCCCCGAAAATAAGACATCCGCAGAAAATAAGACCTAGCACAGATTTTGCTGAATTGCGAAATATAAGACCTCCCCCTGATAGTAAGACCTAGCGAAGTTTCTTTTTAGTCGTAATGGTCATCGACAGATGGTTGAAAGTGGCCGTTGGCTTTTTGAAAGTACAGCCACTGATTGGTCAGCAGACAATTACACCACACGGCATGATTTGCATAAGACTATGGCTTGGGAATCACAGATTTGCATAACGTTACGGCTGGTGATGTCTAATTGGTCGGCCGAGAATCACGCCACATGACATTTGCATAGTGCTACGGTTCAGTAAGCACTAATTGATCATCAAGTCCGATGTTGACGCTATAAAAAGGCGACAGTTCGACACACCGGATATACGTCACTCTCGTCTAAGTTCGACTTGGGAATTTTTTTAATAATAAATGTGAATTCTTCTTCCTGGAAAAAATAAGACATTCCCTGAAAATAAGACCTAGTGCATTTTTCAGAGCAAAAATTAATATAAGACATTGTCTTATTTTCGGGGAAACACGGTATGATTTCTTGTTTAACGTATACATCACATATACTGCAACACTGCATTTGATATGCTTCTGCATATCAAATGCAGTGTTGCAGGATAATGCACCATGTCATAAGGCCCGAATCATCATGGAGTGATTCAAGGAACATTCTAGTGAATTTTAAGTTGTGTTGGCCTCCAAATTCACTTGATATCAACAATCCAATCCAACATTTGTAGTTCCACCTGGGAAACCAAATTTGTGCTGCCGCATGCCACCTTGCAATGTTCGGGAACTGGAGGACCGACTGGTGAGCGCCTGATACCAGATACCTCAGACTATCTACAGCATCTTGTCGAGTCAACACCTCATTGCGTGTTGGCAGTTTTGTGGGCGAAATGTGGTCCTACGTTGTATTAACCTATTCGATGTTGAAATTTTTATTTGTTGCCTGTGATACCATGTTGAATTTTCGTCGATGTTAAGCCTAAATTTTTTTTAAAAAAATAATAATTGTGTTTACTGTATCGTAAAAATTATTTTTTTATGTTTCACAAACAAAATAAATATATTGAATAATATAGAAACAAAAAAAATTATATTTTAAAAGTTTGTTTTAATATAAAAATTGTGATGCATAGCGACATCTAGTATCAAAAACGTTCCGATGTAAACACGAAAATATTTGGGATCGCCCACGCAGATCAATGAGGTCAACACGAATATTTTCGGGAGCAACGTAGGACAGGTTAAAGGATTATATTTTGCCTAAAATCTGTATATAATGGGAATTTTATAGTATTATAAAATCTTTTGAAGTATGATTTTAAGATGCATAGCAAATTGGGAATATGGGAGGAAAGAACTTAAGTTCGAAGTAATTTATCAAAAGTACATGGAATGCTAGTAACAAATATTATTAGATTTAATGTTATTTTAAATTTTAGAATTATGCTAAATTAGTATTATAAATTTATTATTTTTTTAATAGGTCGTCGTGGAGGTTATGNGTAAATACGAAAATATTTGGGATCGCCCACACAGGTCAATGAGGTCAACACACATATTTTCGGAAACAACGTAGGACATGTTAAACAGGTGGTCATAATGTAATGGTTCTATATTCTTTTTGTTATGTTTTCTATATATTATTTCAGTTTTGTTATATATTTTTCTTTGCATTTTCATTTATTTTTAATCGTCTGGTTTTTTACATTTGAAATGTTTGTATTTCAGAATGTTATATTTGAATTATCATTGTATTTATTCTTAACTTTTGAATTTGTGTTCCACTTGAAGAAGGTCAGCAAAATATAGATGAAACATTAAATAAAGTTTTAAATGTAATAATCACTTCACGCCAACTTTTTCAATATCAAAGGTTACACTTATGTGTTGTGGCATTACAAATGGTGACTGTTTAGAGTTTGGATAAGTTCACAAGAACTTTTGATAACATACAGTTACCATCATCAGGTGTAAATTGAATACAACAGTTTTATATTTTGAAACTTTCAAACAGCTTATTAATTTGAACGAAGAAGCTAGATAGAACACCAATTTAAATTGAAATTGGAATATAGTTTGAAAATATTTTTGCACAGCAGTATGAATGATGTAGTACAGTAGACTCCCCTATAACATGGTAGATATGTTCTGTGTTGTATGAATTCTGTGTTGTAAGAGTCACTTAAATACATGGGCCAATCACAGCCCAATACGTGTGCAGTTTAGTGGCTATGGTTGTTTGAATGGTTTTCTTCCATAAAATTAATCAATTCTAGACTAATTTGACTCAACATTTCCAAATCACATATAATCTTTTGGGAATAATTTATATAAACCATGTTATAAACAAAAAGTTGTAGGATTACTTACTGAGTGCGCATCGTTTGAAGACACCAATGCTTAAGCTTGTTTTCGTCATGGAGCAGCTCACCGAACGGTGGGCGCATGTTTCCTGATAAGTTATTTTTCTGTGAAAAATTTGCTGAACTTTGGAGACATCATTAATATAAATATAATTTTTATGGCCGTTAAATAATAAATGATTTTTAGTAGGTCCGCTGCTTGTTTAACTCCTTTGATACCCTTGTTCCAATTCAAATGCAACTAAGAAATCCATAAAAAATTTTATTTTTTATATGAAATAATTATTTCCACTTAAACGTGAATCTGACATCCAAAAAAATTTCCGGGAAATAATTTCCGCAAAATAAAAACCTCTCCAGAAAGTGTTTTTACAAATAAAGTATATGAAAAAATAAAAATAATTTAAAATAAATGCTTTTATTTGAAAAATATAGCTGTAAGGATTGTTATTCTTTGGTTTAACAAGGCGTGAAATTTCACATGTGCAGTCTACATTGTTTACAAACTGGTTGACCTTGAGAACAGCTGGAGTCCACTTTCCCAGATAGTTCTCATGTACTCTTCAGGGGACTATTGGTTTAAAGCAGGAAGAAAGCAAACTTATTGCATCTGTTCAAATATAACACAATATTGTCGATTTTAGTGCTATTAAAATACGAGGGGACCGAAAAAAAGTATGGGGAAAAAATTAAGACCATTAGTCAACAAATGCACCCATCCTACATACCATCTGGAAGCTGCCATAGCAAAATTATTTACATCCTTATTACCTCCATCCAACCTTGTAACCATAGCCTCTACAAATGCTAAAACAGTCATTTCTACTAAACTAAAAGACCTCCCTGCTAATGCATACCGCTTGTTTAAGGTTGACGTTGTTTCCCTTTACCTGTTGGTACCATATTTCAAGGCCATCATGCTCATCAATGCTCTGCTGCTCAACTCCGTGTACCCAACTTCACATGTAATACATTTATGTAGAGCTCTCCTATTCATAACTGTAAAACAATTATTTTCAGTTTAATGGCGCAATATATAAACAAACACAGGGTGTACCAATGGGATCCCCACTATCACTGGTGTTAGCAGAACTCGTTATGTGCAACATAGAACAGCGTACTTTTAATGCCCCTCTGACCATCCAATATTCAATAATGTATTTACATTATGTAGATGACGTACTACTTGCGTGGGAAGGTTCCACAGACAATTTAGAGCAGTTCATTCAAATGTTGGCATCTGTTTATCCATCTATCAATTTCAATCTAGAAGAAGAATTAAATGCCAGAATTTCTTTCTTAGACATAGATATCCAAAAATCTCCTGAGCTTTTGTTTTCTGTTCATCATAAAAATAACAACATACCGCAAATTATTCCTGCAACAGCATTCAAACCCAAAAACTAGGTGAACTCTGCCATAACTTCTCTCATGCAGAGAGCTCTCCTCCTCCCCTCAAACCAAGTGTTGGTAGAAGAAGAATTACAGCTTATTAGTAAAGCGATGCAAGAAGTAGTCAAGATTTTATTATCTCCGGAATTGTGTTAAAAATAAACTATTTCCTCAAACTTTTCTCACTAACAAAGAGGAGCTAAAAATAGCAACCTCCCGTTACCATTTTTAGGTCACGTATCTCTTAAAATAGTATGTCTTTTTAGAGCGAATGGTTTTGTTTTACCGCTAACTACACAACCAAGGCTAAGAAGATTATTATGTAATGATAGAGACATCTTTGAATTGAATGAAAAATTGGGAGTTTATCAAATTTTGTTAAAGCATGATTGATCAGGAGAAGAAACTACCTATATAGGAGCCACGGCCAGAACGCTAACATCTCGCATCACAGAACATCAAGAGGACATCCTAAATAGTAGACCATCAACAGAATTGGCAAAAAAAGTGCTTGATCAGGAATATCAGCCGATCTGGGTCAAAACAAAACTATTAAAAGGATGCAATATTCAAAAAGAACTTTTTATTTGGGAGAACCTATATATATATATATATCGACTCTTACACTGTGCAATGCAACAACTCTAGAAATTCCACAAACACAAATATGGACACGACTATTTAAACATTATAATCTGCATTTCTAGAGCTTCAGCACTGCTTATCACTTATTGTTTGTGAATACATCATCATTCATACTGCTGTGCAAAAATATTTTTAAACTATATTCCAATTTCAATTTAAATTGGTGTTCTATCTAACTTCTTTGTTCAAATCAACAAGCTGTTCAAAAGTTTCAAAATATAAAACTATTGTATTTGATTTACACCTGATGATGGTAACTATATGTTATCGAAAGTGCTTGTGAACTTATCCAAACTCTCACCATTCGTAATGCCACAACATGTAAGTGTAACCTTTGATATAAATAAAATTTTGCTGCATTTCGCGGTTTTTAAGTGTTGTCAGAAGTGCTACAATTTTGAATAACTAAACTTTCAGTTGTATTTGGATAATGTTATATAAAATTAATTTTTTTCTGTTTTTAATCAATTTTTTACATGGAGAAATTTACATTAACAATGTATTTTTTTTTAATTTTTGTTAAATATAAATAAATTTTTATATAATTTAGAAAATTTATTTAAAATTTATTAATTTTATTTATAAAGGTGCCAGCATCATTAATAGATGTTAATGTACTTATGGCAGTTCAGCTTCTGGTAGAAGGAACATCTAGTTGTGAAAAAGCAGCTGATCTTCTTCGTGCTATTCATCAATACATATTATTTGATTTTAGAATTTGGAGCAAAGGTGCTTTTGCTGTGAGAATTGGTAAGAAATTTTTTTTTTTATAATTTTCATATTTTCTTATTTTTTTGAATTATTCTTACCTATAAATTTTTACTTCAAAATTTAATTAAATTATTTAATATCAACATAAAGGTATATAGAATACTCTAGCATTTTATATTTTGGGTGACCAAATATTGTTATGATAGAAGTCACATATTGTCTATTAGAAATATGCAAGATCCACATTCCCTATTGGAATGGCATTTATATTATATGGCAACCTTGGAGCAAGAATGATCCATATTGCTAAATTCTAATTTTGAGATAAATAATGAGAACTTTACACAATATTTTCTATATTTTCTTTTCGGGTCTGGAATGTAACAACAAATTCTGCTTGGATGTGTATTGAATTAGATAAAGCAGTTGCTTTTAAGGAAATTTCACATCCTAAGACTATACACCAAAAACTGTCAACTGTTTCAACTTTGTTTCAACTATTGGTATATAGTTGCCTTTCAACTTTGTACTTTAATCCTTATTTTCTGTCTTCTTTTTCAGTCTAAGTTCAGTTAGTTCTAGTTGTAAGTTAGATTAGGGACTCTTAGCTTGGTATCCAGTTAGGTTAAATTAGATTAGGGTTTGTTAGCTTGAGTCATCTCATTAGGTTCGTCCTAGGTTATGATAGGTTGGTTTAGTTAGTGAATAAGTTAACGTTTAAAATAATAATAATAATAATAATAATAATCTGGTACAAAAAGTTTACATCACTGCACCAGGAACTAGCTAAACATCTAACACACATCATCATCAATCCACAAGACATGCCAAAATTTCTTACTCAGGGCATCACCTACATGAAACCTAAAAACAACAACACCACAGACCCACACAATACAGGCCAATTACATGTCTTCCAACACTCTACAAATTATTGACATCTTGTATCACAAACAAAATATACAAACATGTTGAAGAACACGACATTCTTACAGAACAACAAAAAGGTTGCCGTAGAAATCACAGGGGATGCAAAGAACAGTTACTCATAGATTCAGTCATTCTACGGCAAGCACACAAACAACACAGAAACATACACATGGCATATATAGACTACAAAAAAGCATTCGACAGTGTTCCACACAGTTGGCTGCTACATATTCTACACATGTACAAAATACATCCATCACTCATTGCATTCTTCGAAAACACTATGCAGCACTGGAGAACAACACTTCATCTCAGGGTTAGTAACACTTCCATACAAACAAATGAAATATTCATTAGGCGAAGAATTTTTCAAGGAGATTCCTTGAGTCCTCTCTGGTTCTGCCTAGCCCTGAATCCATTATCC